ACCTGTGGCTACGAAGTGACGTTTCACTGAAGGTAAATAGTCGAGTATACTGCGCCATTGTGAGATCAGTTCTGCTTTATGGTTGTGAATCCTTGAACTTGCGGGTAGAAGACATCTGTCGGTAAGCATTGTTCGACAATCGAGGCCTACGTAATCTGGTGCAAATGGGATGGAGTAAGCAGGTTAGTAACTTAGATGTAGTCGCTGGGTGTTTGGGAATGCATCGAACAAGAAATCGCTACCACATTGAATTCAACTCAATAAGCCCCATTGGTTAGGATACGTTTTGCGTGTCTGACAGTCCCCTACCGCATTCCGCTTTATTCGTACTGGTCGCTGCAGAATGGAGAAATCTACATGGAGGCCAGCAGATGACGTGAAAACGTGGCATAAAGAAACGCACATAGCGACTAGGTAAAGAACGTGTCTCGCCCTCAAGGTTGGGGTCCAAAAGACTCCGTAACTGGATGGTTGGAGGCATTGAAGGTCATGGCAGTAACCGAACAACAGTGGCGATTTTGCTGTCACATCTTATCAAACCAGAATGCTTGCAAACGTGTGTATGGACGGCTGGATTGTGTACTCTGTGTGTTGACTATAAAGCTTCGCTTTCTTCCCGTCCCCCCCCCCCCCCAAANCCCCAAATAGGCCCCATTCCTATTCTCCGTGTACGTTCTCACTTACGTTGTATTTATTATGACTTAGGCAGCAATCAGTGAAGTTCGCTCCACTGTAATCAACTAATGTTGAGTTACATTGATGCAACAGAATGAAGCAAATGAGAAAGAGTTTGAAACTGTACTGGAGAGAAAGCGAAACGAATTGGTCTCTAAAGGCATGTTCTTACTGAAAAGTCCTTTATACGACTGTTAATAAGGGAGACAAGGTAAAAAAAAGTTTTGACATCAGAATAGAACTTACACTCTTTTCCATCTGAGCGACAGCTTCTTTCAGTTTCTCATAGCGATCCCGAAGCAGAGAACCATCGTGTCGACTGCTACTCAACTGGTGTTCTAAATCCACGATTTGTTCTCTATCCACGTTTAGATAAACATGTGAAAAGACGCAATAAAACGGGGATGCCATCAAAGAGAGACGAAAAATCCGTAACGAAAGATCATACCGATTATTGTTTGTTTCTTCCACAATTGAATGACGTACTTCTGAGCCCGAAGACTTATGCTCTCACGCGAGGTTAATTGCAAGCTGAACGTTGTCTACGGACAATAAAATTATCCTTCAGATTAAGGAATGGAAGGGTCAATATTCGTCCGAAGATACTTCAAATGAGTGCATAGTTCATCTGAACAGCAGATAAGGAAACGGTTAAGTCTCAGTTAGTGAAGTTTGGCTCTCTATAATATATAGTTTTAAGAGATAATCGTCAAGAAGAGAAGGTACAAGTAGACTATAGTTGGAATTGCTGTGAAGTTTGCGCATTTCTTCACTGAATGAGTTTCACTACTCCAATAAATTACCGTCTAGACTAAATCCTTTTGAAATACTTCTATTTGCTTCCCAGTTGAACTATTTGAGAGCCAGAATAATAGTTGGCTCAAGTATCTCAAACGAACTGAACAGATTCGGATTTCAAAACAAATAAAGAACCTATACCGGAAGCAAAACACTGAGGTGTTTGAAACCTACCGGAGTTGAGCCTCGCGTTGTTCAGCATTGGAACGTTCAATTTCCGCAAGATGTGCTTGCATTCGTGTGGTTTCCAGTTCCGCTCTCAGATGATCAGTCATAATCTAAATACAATGAGAAGAGAAAAATTGTAGAAAAGCGGGGAAAATAACGAGTTAAAGTGAACATGCACATAACACGCTGCATACTGAATGAATCAACACTCGGTTGGCAAAATTTATCTGTGTACTTTAAAACTGGAGTCAAAAACAAAAGCACACCAAACACTGATACGTCATTCAGCCAACCTAAGACCGAGATTGATTATTTTAATATCCAATGTATTGATAGGATAAGCAGAGTCTATACTGCAGTTCAGCGTGAATATGGAAGTGCAACTTCCGGAAGGAAGTCATCAGAGCTCGTGCTCAGCGGCTGCTTACCGTTGCCTGTCAGTTGACTAGATGTTGAGGCACGGATCGATGGGACTGCACCTTGACGTGGTGTGATGGCTTGTGCACCTCTGTGATCCAACGAGCTACACAGGATGATTTTGGCCGAGTCGAAGATCTGATCAAACCCGGAAGGTGGAAGATTAGATTAGGTCAAACAAAGTCTAGTCTCCTGGTCCTCCAGGTTGGACGTTCGACTCGAATTGGTGTCTCAGTCAGCAAAAATGCTGGAGGAATAATTGATCAAAGTGAATGGGCCTCCATTCCGAATTAACCGCAGTCTTGCGATCAGGTTTTCTTTAGAACTATAGGCATTGAACGAGTACCCCAATCGTTTTCTTGCTTGGTGGCTGGACACCCTGACAGCACCCGTCCATAAAACTTTAATGTGTACACAAACCATAAATAATTCGTCGCGCAGGATAATCAGGACCGCGCTCGGCGGAAGCCCGTTTGAGGCATTAGATATCTGACGAGTCAGTGGCACTGATGGAGAAAAGATGACGAATCCCGACCACCCGGGATCAAAGCAGGGTCAAGTGGTGCCTGACACGTCAGCTGTCGAAGAGCCTCAAGAAAGACCGCGAAACAATCGCTAATGAAATGAAAGTANTTCAACCTTTTGTCTTCCGTACCCAACAGTGGGACCATATCAGACAAACAATGCGTTTGCAGTGAACTTTTCTGGTGGGGTTGAGCCCAAAATTCGGCGAAAACAGTGGATCTATCAAGAGTCAATAATTATGATGGAAAAAAGCGAAAAATTTCAGTTCGCCAAGATTACCCTAGGAACCGGTGGCGTCAGCTCACAAAAAGCCTTGGGAATGATCGCGAAAACTAGTGAGTCAAAACAGCGAGTGAAATGGATGCGACTTGTGCATCAGGGAGGAGTCAAAGACTATTTCACTTGATACGTAGTCGTCGCATAAAGGTTAGTGAGACCATTTGTGATAAAAGTGGACAGAGTATTCACAATAAAGAACAACGACTTGATCGCTGAGCAGAGTACTTTGGTGAACAGTTCAATTGGCTCAATGCTAATGTGGTCATTCCAGCAATTGCGATGGAAACCCCATGGGTGGTAACATATCAGCCGCCATCAGAACCTGAAGTACGAAGCCTTACCGATCACTAAAGAAAGCGACGGCTGCGGGACCTGATGTGTTTCTCCCCACTCTTTTCAAGCTGTGTGGTGACCGGCTCATCGATTCGATTACTGGCCTACTCTGCAGAATCTGGTCGGAGGAGCGTATCTTTCCGTCCTGGGGTGAACCGTTGCGATTTTCAAGAAGGGATCATGGAACGACTGCGCAAATCACCGCGGGATAATTTCAGTTCCCATAATCACAAGTTTTAACTTCTGTGATACTTCGTCGCCTGACACCTTTAAGGTGATGAACATCCGCGAACAGCAAGCAGGATTCCAAGCAGGTCGCGGTTGTAGCGACCAAATCTCTAGTCTGCGTCAGGTCCTTGAATTGTGCCACACACATCGTCGGCCAACAGTCGCAGTGTCCCTTGACCCAAAAAGAGCATTTGGTTCAGTTTACCGTGAATCCCTAGTGGATGTACTATTTCACAAAGGAATGTAGCGGTCGCTGTACCTGCATACGTCAGGTAGCGTCAAGCTCTACGGTGGACTGAGTGAATCATTCAAAACCAGGAGCGCTGTTCGTCAAGGGTATCCTACTTCGCTATTTCTACTCAACTTCATTGTAGACGAAATACTGGAGAACGCACGAAACTATTGGCATTGAAGGGATAGCTGGAGACACGCTGCGAGTTTAAGTACGCTGACGATCTCGTTTGTCTGTTTGAGGGTATGGAGGATGTACAAAGTGCTCCTAACAACTTTTAAGTTCTGTAACTCCATGTGGTATGCGCTTAGCACCTTCAAAGTGCAAAGTGACGCTGCAAGATTGTGTATCACCTGTTTTCAGTTTAAACAACCATTAGGCATGCATTTCCGTGTGACGCTCTTGGTTGCTGTCTTTTGGCTGCCCATTTGGGTGAACAATAGGAGGGAAAGGTTAAAAGTAGGATCGAAGGGAAAATT